AAATTTCAGTCGTCCTCATGAATCGTGTGTACGTCGGCGAGGATACTCAGGAAAGGTTCTTTAATAAGAGAATTGAACTACAGTATAGATTGCTCAAATACAGTAAGCCATGTTCAAGTTCCACGAATGTTTCGGCCTTCGTGGTGACCCCACTGATCAAGATTAAAATCTCACCCCTCCCCTTGTGGCCAGCACTTTGACGTCAGCTGTCAGAAAGCGGAGCGCTCACATGGGAAAACCATATCACTGTGCAGTACACTGCATGTCAAGATGATCATCAACTGATATACGGTTGAAGTGGTCCATTTCTCAAAGGTATCTTTAGTCAATTGAGCGTGAAATGTTCTGATGCGGTTGTCAAGACGACATGTTCCCACGAGCATCACTCAAATTTGCATATGTATACGTCAGGAGGGAAGAACCGTACAGAATCAGGCAAACCGTGTCTAATTGTGATGAATATGTAGACCCTGCGTAAGAAACTGAGCACAAATGCAAATAGTTACAGAAATAATCAGAAGATTTGATTGAACGACAAAAGCTTCTTAAACTCTAATTCTACGCTCCTTGCGCTGAAGGTCAACAACCTGAGTAATTGTTTATGAAAGAAAAATGTCTGACAAATTTCCTTGCTTTTGTCCATATAATATTCCATGGATAAAATGAGCTGCAGACCAGGTGAGACCAATTGAGCCAATTTACAGTTGTTCATATACGCCGCTACTTTGGTACGACTGAACGATATAGCTGATTCGAAGCGACTGGCAATTTTGGACAGAAAACCTAGCACTACTACTCATTACTACCGCAAGCAAAACGAAATGTGGCTGTAGTTAGTAACAAAAGGGCCATCGTTTCCAGGTTCGAAGCAGAATTTCATGCAGTTACCATGTAAACTGAAGAAAAATACATTTCACTTTAATACATTCCACCTTAATCTGTAAGCTGTTGAGTTGGACCTTGAAAACTTTAATCTCAAAGGCTCATCAGTAAGTAATACTTCAGGTTCTAGGCCCATAGTTATGAAGATGAGTATTTGAATGATTCAGGGTTCAGGGCACCGAACAAAGCAGATGGCAAAACAATTTACTGCTGACGCGTTTCGCTACATAGACCATAGCCTCATCAGGATTAGTGCAGCAGGGAACGTGAAAAGCCCTCAAAAGTGCAAGGCTCCTGGATTCGATGAAATCCGTCCTGCAATGTACGCTGTTAGGAGAACAATGCTCATGTCCGTAAAAGTGCAGTGGCTACGTCGAAGACACCGGAGGACTGGGGAACGTGGGTTGTGGCACACATGTTCAAGAAGGCAGATCATAGGGAACGTTCAGTTATCAGAGCATTGTCTCATAGAGCTTTCCGGGTAAAGTCTAAGCAAAGGTGCTAGAAAGGAGGTGTCGCGGAATAACTGACTCCAGAATACAAAAACCATGCAACTTCAAGTCTAGCAGAAGCACTGGACAGATATTCGATTTACGCCAGATTGTAGAGAAATACCTGGAGTTCGATGATCCGGTTTAGCAGTGTTTTGGTTTCTCTGGAAAAGCCCAAAGAAAGACAACGATCAGTAAGTAGTGCCAGTGCCTGCGTATATATGGGATCGACGACGAGTTGCGCGAGCAATCCAGTCACTAAATACTAATAGCAGGTTACGCATCAAAGCAAATAGCCTTAAGTCGAGACCTTTCATTCTTGGCACTATTCTCTACCAAAGCTGCACCTTATTCCCCATCCTGACTGTGTTGCACATGGATAGAATTGTCAGGAGCAGCCAAAACAGTGAGGGTATCGGTGTACGAAACGTGCAGACGACAATGTTGCTGTTTGCAGACGACCTTGTTTCATTGACATCTTTTGAAACTAATCTCCAGTGCTCTCTGTAAAGATTTGTAGCTGAATGCGACGTGTCTAAAACGAAAAGCCTAGTGCTTTCTCGTTCTCCTGCCCGTTGCTCTCTTCAGATTAACGGAGAGGCAA